ACTAGAAGAAACTTCCAAAGCTTTCCCGCATCAAAACTTGGAAAATCTTCATTTCTGATGATGCGTTTGGGTTTATGAATGGAGTGGAATTGCTTTGTTAGGGTTAAGTTGACCAGCGGCTCAAAAGGTCAAATTCATAGGAATCTCAATTTATTCAATTTAGTATAACTTAGTATAACTTGTTTAAGCCTTCAACAAAACATTTACACTCTCCAGTTTCAGTTCAACCGTAAAAACGGGAAGAATTGATTTTTTCTCTCTTGTATTTAAGTTGTAGGTTCACAAATGAACTGAAAAAGTCTCCAAACGTGTGAATTGTGGTGCTAAATTACCTAAATTAAATAGTCTGCTGTTAAAATTGAGCATTTTCCCATCAGACCAAGGGTTCAGGTTTAGAAAAAAGCAGTTTCCAAGTGGTTTGGTTGTCTAAAACCCGTTTTTCCAGAGTTTTACGGGAGGAGAGCGACTCGGTCGGCTTCTCATTAGCTCTGCGGCTCCGTTTAATGGAGAAACCACCATTTAATGAAGCGGAAAAAGGAGGAATCGATTCGCCCCCGTGGAGGCAGAGAGTTGCAGTTCGGGGACCTTTGTTTGCTCCGAGTTTTAGGTCCCACCAGGAGACGCTCTCGCTTCCAGAGGCAGGAAAAAAAAGGGGCTCGGACATTTATGGGAGAGACTCGGAAAGCTGGTTCCAGGACTCCAACCAAACTCCCTCATAAGGAATCAACAGATTTTCTTATAAAATTTGTTGTTGCTGGGCAGAGAAGTAACTAAAAGAGACACAAATCCACGAGTTGAGGGTAAGTTTGGGAAAAAAACAACTTTGCTGCCGGTTTTACTGAGTTTGGCTTGAGGTTAGACCCCGGTTAGGTTTAGGAATCGAAGGGGAGGGAAAGCCGAGCTCCGGGGGTAACGAAACTCCCTCATAAGGAATCGACAGATTTTTAAATACAATTTGTTGTTGTTGGGCAGAGAAATAACAGAAAGAGACACAAATCCACAAGTTTTGGAAAAAAAAAAACAACTTTGCTGCCGGTTTGACCGAGTTTGGCTTGACTTTTGGCCCCCGGTTAGGTTTAGGAAATGGAGGGGAGG